CATGGTAACATAATATTGTAATGGTATCCTTCAGAATATGTTATCGTCTTGCTGTGGACATCAGCAGATTTTTGTTGGGTGTCTTGCATGTTTTCACAATTACTGCGATAAAATCGCCAACATATTTGTTTGCCGTTTTTAAATGATTTCCAGCAAAGGGTTTTTCGAGGTTTTGTCTTGTTTCTGAGGGCTCCTCTTGTCTCTTTCTTTCTCATCAACATGTTTACGCATATTCTGCAATCGTAATAAATTGTCATCGAATCAGTCAGTCAAAGCCAGAGATCTTTCACTTCGCACTTTGAGGCTTACTGTTGAGCTGTTTAGAGAGCGCAAAACATTACTGCAAGATGAATCGAATCGCGCGTAAACTCATCAGTGGTTTTGTACCACCGAAAGTCGTATTCTGCAAATTTTTTTAAACATGGAACGTTCCACCTCTCTGACTGAACAAAAGTTTACATTTTGATGTCCAAAGAATGACATTTCTCACAAAAAATCTCCGGTTTACAGTTGATTTCTGCCCTCCTTATTTCCTAAATTAATCGTTGTTTCGTATGGATCTATCTCCGCGAATGCGAAAAACATTTCCAGTATATTCATTCGTTGATCGTTGAAATGCACAACCGCTGCTTCTTATTACCAGCAAGCAAAAAACTTTATTTTTTTTTCGAAGTTCGATCTGATCTTATCGTGAAATTACACCATCTTAATCATACCACTATCGCCACTCTAAATATTTGAATTGATCAACTTTCATAAGCCTGCGATTGGGTTTTTTTTGACTAATTGTAAGTTGAAATCGCATTTTTGTGTTGATGATTGTGATGAATGCAGCGATGGGTGCACTACGAAAACGATATGATGATCATAGTTCTACTGAAAATTTGTTTTATATCAAGCGATTTTTCATGGTACTTCTCACAAATGAACTGCACTCTGTTTTCCCCTCTCTTCTCTTCTTTCGTAATCAGTGAGAAGTAAAGGAATCAGCAAAACGAATGACGAATAATTCGTGTTGATTAAACGGCTTTGTAGAATAACACTAAGCGAGAGTGTTACTGGCACTCATCTTTAATCGGTTGTTGCCTCATGTGACTCGACTGGTCTCGTAAACAAGACAATTTAGTCACGAGAAAATGGGGAAAGAAAATTAAAATGATCATTTTTAAATTGTTGTGAATGAGTGGGTCATGTGATATAATCAAGCAAAAAAACGCTTCACTTTCAGCTGAAAATCATTCACTGAAACGAATCAAATCTGAGTCATTCGCCGCAAATGTTACCAGCCAACAACAGTCAAGGTCACCGTATGACCCCAGCTCCGTCCCAGCTCCACCTTCTGGATCATGGATTCAATCACCGAGCGGAGCGTTACCGTCCGTCTTGAGTCCCTATGGGCCATCAACGTCAACAAGGTATTTCTTTATCGTGTTAAGTAATCAAAAGCTGTATTTTTCGTCATCAATTATTCGCTTAAATGAAACTGAATTGAGATCGCAGTGGTCGCCCAATATACACTCAAATTTTTAGCCCTCAATTAGCGCAAACAGCATCTCAACAGCAACACCAGCAGCGGTGCGGACCGCCATCGGCACCGTCCAAATACGGTGGACCAGGTACACCGGCAACCCCCAGTAATGCACAGAATCCGCCATCGATTGGTCCAGCGATTGGCACGAGTCCCGGAAGCACTGGGAACGCCCTTCAGACGAGTGTGCAGCAACAGGGAAGCGTTGAAGCAGTCTCAGTATCGGGTGAGACATTTGATGGTGATGATCATTCCACACCGTTTCATTTGAACTATCTTTTTGCCCCGATATCTTCATCTGGTTATGTTCTTCATAAACTCAATTGCTGTGATCGGCTCCTTGCAAATGCCCGATAGATTGATTAAAGCAGTCTATCAGAAGAAATTATTCATCATCGTGTGGCTCATTTCAGGATCTGCACCCTATACCCCCGCATCAGTCGGTTCATTAAGTGGGAGTGCGCATTTGAACAACGTGTCATCATCGGTCACATCAACTGGTACTTGTGAAAATAGTGCAACGACAGCAACACCGCAAACTACGGGATCGGCTGCAACGACGAATAACTGCCTGAATGAGTTGTCTTCTTCGTTGAACATCGGTCAAATTGATGATTTCTTCGACGATCTCATCTTTTCGGATGCTAAAGTACATCAGCACTTTATTTTTTTCTGAATCTTGGCATGTTTANATTGAAATAATTCAGCAGAGCGCTTTCGCTCGGCGGATTTTTAGTCTGGCCGTTGTAGAATACAACTTTGCTTTATAACTATTTGGAAAGCGTAAATGTTCGGAAAAGCTCTCGTGGATCCGAATTTGACTCAACTATCAACATTCTAAGCTTCACAGTTTCCTAAAGTTGACTTTTCAGATGTCGTCAGCCGCCGAAATGCAGAAATATCTGAATGAGGATTTTCTGGCTGGTTCAGGTCTCGCTGAAATCAATGCAGCGCTGAAGTGTGAGGTCAGTTCGTGCCATTTAATGCCTACAGATGAATGTGCTCTTTTGTTGCTCTGACCGGCTTGTATAAATGCTCCGAAAATCAGTTCTGAAATTCAACTACTTGCAGTATAATCGTTGTCATATCGTATTACAAATAGCCTAAGATGGCTCGTTGTAGCACAAATGCATTCAAAACCACATGATTCTGATAGTACTACGTGCTAACATAAACAGTCATTCGGATGCGACTCAATGAAATGGCAACTTCAAACTACAGAGTTTATCCATTTCAGAGTGATGTTTCACGCACGATCACGGATGCTCAAGATTGGAATGATGTAGCCCAGGTGATCGCGGAACAGTCATAATTTCATTGATCCTTTTACTGGTTCAGTCGTTGATTGATCCTCCTAATCAGCTGTTCGTCTAGTGGGATCACCTCTAAATGCGCTTCCAGAAATATCATTTATTATTTTTATGAAAGCTATGTCAATTACTGTTGTTTCTATCATTTTGTCAGTTGTGTTATCATCATTTTTATTATTATTGTTGTTGTTATCATTACACCTGTTAACATAAATGATGCACTAAACTGATTAGAACCTCGATTAGTTAAATCGCTTCATCTAGTAATTTCTCTCTTTCATTTGAATTCTTTATATTCTCATTCGTATTGATGATAATTATTGTTATTATTAGTATTATGACCGTATTTATTCGTTTATTTATTCATTCGTTTACACTGCATCTTGCTGGTCAAGTGGTCCAAAATGACCAATTTCACACAATTGAATTGATTTGAAATAAATTATTTCATTAATTGATTGTCTTATCGTATCTTACCTTGTATAATCTGGTACCCACTGATCAAATAACCTTTCATTGGTAGATAATAGTATGATTCATATGATGCATCATTAGACTCCACATTGGTTCATGTGATTTGCGACTTATTTCATTGACCTTTTTCTTTGTTTTTCATTCATCGCATTCGATGTTTATTTATATTCTATATTGTGTTATTTCGTGTATATTTTCATGTTCCTTCCCTGTTGTTGATCGTGTAATATTTGACATTTCATTGCTTGTTTTAATCAAATCTGCTCATTGAAGCATTTTTGATCATTTACTCTTCAATTCTATGCAATTTACAGCCAACGTTTATTATTTTCAATCGGTTATCCACATTCAGGCATTTGCATTGACTAAAAACGATTTTTTCGTTGAAAATTTCACTCGGAATTGAAAGACTATCGGGAAGCGGGGAAAATGCAGGACTAAACGAAATTCCGTCACTTATGTACGTAAACATTCAGATATAAATTGCGATATCGTTCAATTTTAATGGCTCACTCCATTAAGTGTGAATATAAGAAACAAGCAGTGATCAAACTCACATCATAATATCAATTATTCCTGTCGTTGTTTTCTGCTTGTGCGACAAATTCGTCAAATCTTGCCAGATTGGCTGAAATTTATCGTGAATTTATGAAGTATTTATTCGTTGTTCGTGTTTGTTGACTCGTATTATGAGCTAAATGAATATCATTATTAAAATATATTTTATNACAACAACAACAAAGTATTGTGATTTGTTTATGTGCGAAACTTAAATGAATTTATCAATTTATTATTACTTATGTCATTCATCTGTCGTTATTTACCTATATTTATTCTATACTTATCTATTCATCGGTTCAAGATTTCCCTCTTAGTTCATTCGACTGGTTTTCGTAAATTTAATTCATTTTGAGTTTATGATTTTGAATGTTCATATTTCCACTGTTGATCTTCCTTGTACATATATATATTCATAATAAATTTAATTCGTTTTCTATCGTATTGACGATGAGGAACATGCATTGAGTTGTAGTTAATGCCTATCATTCACTCAGTTCCAGCGAGTTTTGTTCCATTTTCATTTCCATTCATGCTATTATTTCTAGTAGGGCGGTTAAACGTGAATCTGCACATTTGGTCGCTGATATTAAAGAGTTTAATATTTTCTGCCAACTCTCATTGAAGGCATCGCGTAACCAATTCGACTTCGTCATGCACGATAATGTGCAGCTCCATAATCGCACGTCGATGTGAACCCGCTTGTCCCTCTACTGTGTTTGTTTTCTCAAATTTCCTCAAAAAAATGGCCATTTACTTATGCCGACGTAATCTTGAATTATTGTCGATGATAACTGTAAAGTTTCCGTGGAGAATCAATCAGCTGTACTACAAGCCAGAAAGCTCTTCAATTAAATAAATGTGTTGGAGAAAATAAGCACACTCAAGTGTTCTTAGGCTGAGAATATTTTATTATAAGAACGCCTAGAGGACACGTTCGGGTTCACTAATGATATTCGGCATTCATCTCCTATAGTTATAAACATCTGAAATAACAGAGATTATCAGAAAATTTGGATCCATGCGGTGAAAATTTTGCAGCACAAAAGCAGCTAATTACGTATTCATGTCGCCGAGCAATGTCATGGTGCGAATCAACTGTAGTCTGCTTGTTTGAAGCGCTTCTGAATTTAAAAAAATTCACATATTAATGATTCGAGCAAACTATGCAAATTGCCTTGAGCATTTATCACATTTGTTTCTAGATGTGAGGTATATAACTGTCCTGGAAGAGGTATCGGTATGCAAGAAGAAATTCGCTTTTTTTGTTATTGCTGCACTTATCCGGCGGACACTAATGGTTGATCTGTTTTTGATGAATGTGCTAAATATCATTTTTTCTTCGCATAGCATTTTGTGCTTTTAAAAGTGCACACCATCATTTGTTTAGAGATGTTAAGCCACCAACTCATTTGCATATCGACATTCATTTTTTTCATCATTTCTATGAATCGTATACTTTGATAGCAAACAGGTGTGAATAATTTGAAATTCACTTTATCTGTTCGTTTGAAGGCAGTCGCGGTGAACGCAATTCCCATTTGATCACTTCCTTTCTTAATTATTCGTATGTCCATGATGGTTCGCTATCTTTTCGCACACATGTTCATTGAAATGAATAGATAATTAGATATAAACCAAATCATAGACTGGCTGATGAGGCTCGGTAATATCAATGACATTGGTACACCATTCCATTTCGAGCAAAGCTTACCCCGCGAACGGGGATCAAACCTACGACGTACCAATTATCGGTTATTGCGGAGATCGTCAGCCTTCATCGTGTGACTGCGCTGAGTTTTCGCAATCAATTTATCAGCGCATTGATTTGATTTGAGATGAAACTTTTCCGAATTTTCGTCTCACTTATACACTGAACAAATGAATATTCAAATGCTCGTTTCATACATCGCGGTTGATATCATCGACAAATCACAATCTTACTGACCAACAATATTTGATCTGATCTCGCAGGAGTTCTGTGCTTCAACAACTGCTGAAATGTTTCTCGCCCGACAAGCTTTCATCCTCATACTTATTGTAAGTTTGCTGGCACAAGGCGCAGAAGGCGGTTGGTTGAAGAAGAAATATAAAAAATTGGAGAATTCAGTGAAAAAGCGAATATCTGAAGGTGAAAATTATTTACATGATGATTTCAGCTTGTCTCAAAACATTTATAGCCTCCCTTTTGGCATCCTATCCATTTATACAATGACGTAATTTTGCTTCGATCTTGCTCAGTTATTCCAGCTGAAAGTAAGACATTCGCTCATATTCATTTGAATTGTTTCTGAGCTTGAAAACTTGGTGTTTTGACGGTCACTCTTCGGAAATATATAAGCTGCTCACAGTGATTCGCTTTTCATCGAAATTTCCCGGACTGTGGTAGCGTTTAGTAAGTGTTCATCGGCGTATTGATTTCAGTGTTGTTCACAGTCAGTTTCTACGAATGTTTTTTACGAACATTTTTTGCTTAATATACTTTTCAAGTACCAATATGATCATATTTCTCACGTCTTTATGTCTCGTAATAGTGATATCGTTTTTAAGGAATTGCTCTAGCACTGGGCAAAGCAATTCGATCTAAGCGTTCAGTGGATTATAATCTACCAGATGAACTACTTTACTGGAAATGATCATAATCACAACAATAAAAGCTGGCATCTTTAAACAAACTGCTGATTTTTCATGCTCGTCTCATGAATCATAGCGTATCCTCGGATATATTCTCCAAAATATTCTCACCGACTATGTTCATCTTTTATTTTTCTCTCAATTGAATTTCTAGTTTGCGAATTTTTTTTCTCTAATCGTGACATCTTTTTTGTGATTCTGAACCATAAGTGCAAGTCCTCAATAAAGCATTCCTTACGGTCATTGAATAAAGATTTCCTCGAAATGTAAACAGAATGATTGCTTTACCTCAGCATATGCTCAAGTTGAAGAAAACAAAATTTTTCTGGAGGTAATCGGATTGAAAACGACGGGCATGATATTCCGTTCAGTGCACTTATCTGACATTAGGTTCAGGCGGGAAGGCGATGCACTGGGCCATAAAATACAACCCCATAAAACATTGGATCAATAGGAGTGTACGAAGAACTGTACGAAGAACTGAGTATGTAATTTTCTGGTAGCACATAATCCGCTGAATTTAATCTTGCAAGACGGTCTTGAGCAGCGAAGTAAACAGGACTGTCCACGTCATATGAGAATTATACTCCTGATTACATCTAGCAGATAATACTGGTCAACCCAGTGATCGCTTGAACATGTTTAAGAGGTATAATGGAATCGTTCTCTGAATGTAAGCAAAATAGCTGGACAAAATGTATACATTTCTGAAACTAGAGAATCTGGGGAATCCGATATTATGAAGAAGCGGCCATTTTTCTGGGCACACCTGAGAACAATTATAGTTTGAGCACATAGACTTGTTTCACGTTAAGTTCAACGAGTCCGATCTCAATTCGCAGTTGTTCGATGGCTCATAAGAATTAGTTACACATTATTTGACTGCTTTGATATTCTAAAATGCCGACTTGAGGTGCACAGATTTGAGCTTCTACGGTGTCGGCATACAACACCACATCAAATGGTCATGACGCATTTGTCACAAACGTCTTCATAATGCAAGTAACGAACATCACATCTCTTGTTACAGTATCAGCTAGATGCAGTTATTTAAGAGGTTTCTGAACTTTGCCAGATTTGCGCTGCAAAAAAACCACTATTGAATAGTTCAAAAAATTTGGCGTTAATAAAATTTCTGATTTAATTTCATTGAAACACACCGCAAAATGCCACGTTCAAGGATACGGATGAGTTCCAGTAGTATTGGAGACCAGTTCTCAGTGGGTACTTGCTGTTTCGAGTCTGGATCTCCTGAATCAGAAGAACATATATTTTGTTGAGAGATTTTGCTTCATGAGGACCTATAGCCACTTACTCAGATATATCTCAATTCGAT